TGTTAGGGCGACATCACGTCGTCCTGCTCTCTCTTCATCAGATTCTTTCTCGCCTTGGTCCTCGTTCGTGTATATGTACACCGTTTTCTGTATTAAACAGTAGTTAGAGAATAAACTCGGACGAAGATCGTCCACACTACCATCTCCCGTCTTTCTCTCTAACAGACACTTAATGTTGCCTCTCATAGCTGAGAATTCAGATCAAAAATGGATTTTATGAATCAAAACTTCAACGCATTTATTTGAATTTTCGCGATCGACAATCATATTTTGAGAGAATCATAAATAAGCTTTCGTATCATGACCTCCTCTATATCAATACAAAATCTTTAAGGCATTAACGAATCATTTATTCTTTAGTTGCGATAAATGTGTATATAGGCACACTCTTTCTAAAAGCATCATGCAAACATTTCGTCGATGCTTTTTAACTTTTGTGTAATAATTGCAATATTTTTCTCTGATCGGCCAGAATTCATCCTTTCGTGAAGTTGTATTGACATCCTCAAGTTTTCCTGTACTGATTTATATTGTCGTAGCTGAGTGCAAATATCACCGATCTCTTCATACATTTTAGCCAAACCTCTATTGAAGCAATCCATATTTAATTTATATGATTGTGACATTTGTGCTAAGTTTTTCGTTTTGCATTCAAGTTCCTTTTGTTTATAAGATAGACTAGTGGCATAGTCTTTTCTTTCAGTAAATATCTTCGATAGTTCTTTGTAAATACATTCGCTTAAACCAACATTCGGTACAGGTTCTTTCAGATAGAGATCAATCAATTTTTCATAATTCAGTTGTGCCTCGCTTATGAGATCAGTAGAAGCTTGTAGTTTAACTAAAATGTAAATACACTCAGTAACATCTGAATGTTTAGATGAAGAATAAGTTAACATTTCTTCATATTGCACTATTCGATGCCCAATAGCATCGAAAGTCAATTCTCTTTGTCTGCTTTGATCAGCTTCAAGTGATATTCTAGCTTGATACAATCAGTCTATGACACGATAGAGTTCCATTCGTTTATCTCGATTAATTATCGATGAAAGTAATGAAAGACGCAAAATAATGCCCAGATCATAGTGCTCACTAGCGAGTGTATTATCTTTGACGTACGCGCGGTAAACGAAACCCATGTCAAGATAAATTCGAGCTATGTCAATCGCACAATCTAATTCTCTATCATCTAAGTGTAATTCGTAAATCAGCAGTGCCTGTCAATATTTTGACAAAGTGATATCAACATATTCTGGATAATGCTTTATGTGGAATTGTAAGTAAAGAGTAGCGAGAGTATAGCATTCTATGGCATTTAACCATTCTTTTTCGTTGGGAAATGTTTGATATAATTGACCAAAAAGCGATTCGACGCTTTCGACACCTACTCAATATAAATCTCGAGAAATATCATTGACACCAGTTTTCAATATCGCTCGCGGCGACATGTCGGAAAAATCATGCCTTGGCTTGACAGACGAATCTGCTTTTAGTCTAACATTTGCTACGTATATATTTCGATGATCATCGTAGGACCAGTTGATTGCTTTGAAGTGATTTCCTATCATTAAAATAACTTCTTCTCGTTGGGAAAAGAAGATAAACTATAGTGATCGATCCGAATGGTTGAGAGACTAACCGAACATCAAGTTCAATTTCAAATAACATATGCTGATTTTCATCATCAGGTCCATTTGATGATCCAAGTAAGAATGACGCATAAGATTGATCAAGAGATGTAGAAAGGAAACTAGTGTTGATGAAATCGGACGACTTGATCCAACGAATTTCACCCAATGAAATGATCTGTCCACGATACACTTTGACTAAACCCCTCCCCAGATTAAAAGACCAGGGGTCTTCTAACGTGTCTTCGCGTGTAATATGGGCAAAGGGGTCTTCTAATTAGGGGAGTCTCTTAAAGCGACATTTACTACAAAAAATATGAATTACTTCAAAATTTCATTAATTTATTAAATATCATCAAACAGTCACAAAATTGTAAAAATATGTAAATATAAAACAAACTACTTCTGCTTCCATATACTAGTAAGCTTCAAGTGAGTTGTTTTTACTGAAACACTGTGTTATTGTGTGTTTTCCTCAGTAACTTTTTCGATATAATCATCGTTATATTCATCGAAAGTATCTTATAAAGGGGGGTCTTCTAATACAACTTTTCAACTTTTTATCGGAGAGGGTCTTCTAATTGGGGGAGTCTACTAATCTGGGGGGATCTTTTAATGTGTCGGGGGGTTTATTAGATCAGCTTTGTGGTTGATTTTCACGATTTTGTATTGGTCTTGCAAGTTACTCTTAGTTAATTTCACCGAGATTTTCTTGATAAATGCTTGTGAATCTTCTTCAAGGGAAATTGTCAATAGATCGTTGAACTCTTTTTGTAATCTCAATTAGTTTCTTTCTCAAATCTTCCAAATTCACTTCATTGGCTCCATTTTCTTTTTGAAGATGTTTGATCAACTTGTTAAATTTTTCTTCGAAATCGATAAAAAATAGTTGACTTTCCTGGATTTTGCTTCTTCTATTGGGCATTTTCTCTCAATCGGTCATAATCACGTTTAATTCTTCATTTAATTCTTGCCGATGTTTTGTCAGATCTTCAAAACAGAATTCATTTGAACAACCTTGACAAGAATACGTGACTTTGTATTTGTTACAAATACCTCCTTGTGTTCCGCTTGTTGCTGTCACCATTCCTTGTGAATGAAAAGTTTGTAAAAGAATGGTCTATATAAAGTTGACGTAGACAAAAAACGGCATATGGAAAATTTTTCTTGTCAATATTGGAGGTTTCTGACGAGTCAAAGGTATATTATTTGTTGTCTCCTCTTCATGAACCATAGAAAAGAAAGATAGAGAACATCGCACGAGTAGCCCATAAAAATAAACTATATAAAAAAAGACGAAAAAAAAGAATTTGAAGGAAGTAAATCTTAAGGTATAAGGTTACACTCAGCTCCGTATACACGATTCCATAAAAAAGCGTTGTCTTATACTCTTGAAAGAATTATGAAATTCAAGAAGGCAAGTAAAATTTACTCGAGCGAAATGATTATCGTCAACTAAGTATCATATATTTATTCTCAAAGTGAAATATTTATTTAAACCAAGAAGAATATATATTAAACTATTTCACTTAACGAAACAAAAGATTTTATAGACATTTAGTAAGCGCAACGAGAATTTTGAAAGAAAGGAGTGTACGGCTTGCGAACGCCGTGAATAATAAAGATTTTGATGATGTTAGTACGAATATATTCTACAATATGTGACTTTTTGCTATGCATTTTGAAAACAAAGTAAGATAAGAATATTCTATGTTGGGATGAAGTAAATACAATAATTACGCAATTGAATTATGAGAAGCCAGAAAAAATCGAAAAAGTAACACGGTTGCGACACCTATGCCACGTTATAATGTTTCATTGAAGTAAATAATGTCTTCTTTTACTTACGTTAGTCAACAGAGAAGTATTTTGTAAAATGCTTTCGTTTTTTTCGCGTTTGCACTGAGTCATATAGACAGCAAAAGAACAATATGGTATTTTCCAACTTTTGTCATTATAATGAAGGACTGTAAGATCGGGTGTTTTTATTATTAACTTTTTAATGCAAGAAAAAAGTCTTTCACAAGGTAATCCTTTTGATTTCATTGACATTGAAGAGCGTGCTTATATAAAGTAGTATACGCAGTAAGTTGTACCAAATGCAAAACATGACGACATTGATGAAAATCAATTTATCATGCAAAGTTTTGTTTTTCTGTGCTAGAACTCTGACTTTTCAAGGTTAGAAAAGTTGTATAAACGAGATAGGCAATCGACAGACTAACGGAAGTTCATTACTGCTGAATCCTTTGTTAAGATAAAACACGTGTTTAAGTAAAGATTTCATAATATATGACTGTTTACATTGAATCAAGTGTATGTTTTCATGTTTTTGCTTATTCTTCTGCGGAAAATTGTGAAATTCTACAAGTTGACTCATTGTATACTTGAGCTTTTTATCCTGTTTGTCTATATTAAATATAAATATTTTTTAAAAGAGTATGATCGTATTCAGTTTTCCATTAAAACATATGGAATGAGTTGTTAGGGAGAGGGCCAACAATTTTTGCTACGGAAGAGCGACCGATCGGACGACAAAAATTTTGAAATGCTTTCTTAGCGATTGCGTTGTGTCCGCTGCTCTCTTCTGCTTTTTCATTCCTTTACTCAAACCACTGGTTTTCTGTCTGTTAGCGTTACGTTATCATAGTGAAAACGTCTGTCAGGCCTCATTTTGAGGCCCGGTTGATATCCTGGAAAATAACGTTCTTTTTACTTTTGTTTGTTCTTGATCTTGAATGATACACGTTCACTTTCACTTAACTTCGATTCGAATCAACAGATTTATTCTCATCTAGTTTTTCAGTTATTCTAGTAGAAAACTTGAGTGAGGTATGGTGATCTTATATGAACGTGTACTGAAAGAGCTTTACAAGAATTCGATTGAGTATAATCATCACATTCAACACGTGTAACACTGAGTTATGGAATTTTTTTTGTGTATTTAAAAAGTAAGTACATAAGTATGACAATAAGCTTTAGTCCATATACATAATGAAAAACATTTTTCAGCTTTTTGAAACCAGTTATATACCTCTTTCACTTTCAGTTCCTCATAGCGTCCCATAAATGTCACATTGAAAGCGAAAGATATTCTAATTGTTTATTCAGTTATCTTCTTGGAAAGCGAGTATCATACAATATTTAACCAAGTTCCAACGACTCACTCCTTTCAAAACAGCAACTTCATATTTTTTTTAAATATCTTAATGATTAGACTAGTTTGAAATCAAAGATAATAGTAGGGCAGCGTAGGAAAATCTTATTCTGTGATGATGTCTGGCTTAATCTAATCTAAAGAAAACGCAATAGTATTTGAGTTACCCAAGTTGTGAAAAACATCATTACTGTGATACGAAAAACGACCAGTTCTCGAACGAGTATGTCTTGTGCTTTTTACACAAATTTTAACCCTTAAAAACCGAAGGGGCTTTTTTGAATGCAGGAAACGAAATGGTCGTATAAATGGAGGTTCTGGAGTATGAATATGCATATATCATGGTCAAAACCGCTGGGTGGTGCTAAAAATGTTTTACACCCAGGCGGTCTGGGTGAAGTACGATCCTAATAACTTTCCGCTTGGGTGGCCATGTAACATGGTTTAGGACCACCGTGAATTTATTCTCGTGATATTTTGAGGTATCTTCGATTGTTGATTGAGCAAAAAATTGACAATTACCTAGGTTACTACGCTAAAAATGCCTCTAAAACGGTACTTTTTTACTACGACATAATGACTTGTTATAACAGTAAAAAGCGTGCAAAGTTGTTTTATATTACAGTTTACGATTGTTTCTTATGATATTACTCAAAATCTGTATTGTATATGCCAAGATATAGAAATATCCGCGCACCCAATTTTGCTTAAAAATAGACTCGCACTCAAAGCTATGTCGAAGTTCACGAAAACTGTTCTAGCGTGATTTTCCTCCGTCACACATCCATCTTGACTGTCTTTGTTCAGGAAAACAGTAGCTTTCATGAATACAACTTAACCCCTCTGTTCTACCGCGATTAATCCAATGTCTCTGGGAAGGGACATCTCGGCTTTTAAGGGTTAAGATTAGAAACCTTATATCCTGAAAGTGCAATACGTGAAATTTTCCGAGCATTCTTCAAATCAAAATTTTAATTCGTGACAATATTAATTTACTACGAAAGCCTTTATCATGGCGATCTTTATAGATCGTGTGAAGACTGCTTTATCAAAGACGTCATATTTTTGTAAGTTGAAATAGCAATCGTCTTAAAAATTCGGCTAAAATATACCTAGGTTCACTAAGCTAAATGGATGTTGAAATAGCTTCCGACTAATAACTTAAGAAATGTTCAAATAAAACACTGTTCGCACCATAAAAAATTGAACGTTGTTTTAATTATTTAGTTAGTTAATGCCGTGGATATTGCATCGATTGCGTATTAGAAAGGTTCTGTAAAACAGTTCATTTTTTAGATGGATTGGAGAAGTCTCCTGAAAGATCAAACCACTCCCTGCGAGTTGGCTAACGGAATTCGTCGCATTTATACTCTGGCTAACCGTAAACCACCTGAGTTAACACTGTCATCTGCTGATGAATATGACATCCTAATTTTATGTCGAAAAGCTATTCAGCCGAATGTAATGGCTCTCTTTGAAGCTATAAACGCTACGGATAAAATTTTACCTTTAGTACTACATCATATAAATGATATGAATACATTAGCAATTTTTGCTACTGATACAACAAAAGCAAGTGTACTGGAGTTTGATCGTGCTACACTATACAAATGTACTCTAACGCTACAGTTAAGAAGTAAAATTTTAAATTCCAATTGGCCTATTAATGATGATCCAAAAAATGAAGCAAGCACAGAATTGTTAGAAAAAGTATGCAGCAAATGCCCAACCATAGCTTCCTTTCGGCTATTACCATATGATCAACTCAAACAACAATTTCTGGATTATGCTACTCCTGAACAACAAGGAATTCTGGAGGCAATATGGATAGATGATAACAAATTACGCACAAAAGTTAAAGAATACAACCTTCCATTAGCGCTAATTAAAATTTTAGAAGAGAATGGAACCAAATCCATAGATGACATAAGTGATAACGATGTATCTGCACTTATCAAGGTCGACCAAAAAAGGATGACAGAACAACTCGAGCAGAACGGCATTGATAAACAACAAACTGATTTTATTATTGAGCAACATGCAAAATTTAAATCAAACTTGACACAATTAAGAAAAAAGGAAACCAAAAAAGGTCAAGAAGAAGAAGCTGAGAAAAGGAAACAAGTTGAAGAGAACAAAAAACAAACAGTAGAAGCTATCAAAAATATAGAAGAGATTAATAAAAATCTCAAGACGCTTTCGTCTAAACAAGTGGAGGATAATTTGAAGTCAGTTGCGGAGAAATTAAAAGTTGAATGGAAATTTTCATCTGAAGAATTAGAACAATCAAATAAACTGATAGAAACAATTTTAAAGGATTTGAATACGGCTAAAACTGAATTAGAAGCGACTTGTGGTAGTAACTATAAAACGGATGAAGAAATTATTTCACACATTAGTGGTGGAATGGCACTTTATGGAATTCAATTATTGGATCCAGAAAAGTTTGGAGAAAAAGCTGGACGACAATTATTGTCATGCCCGTTATACTGTCCATTGTTGAGTCCTGAGTATGCATTTCAATCCAATGTGCAAAACTTCACCAGCCTTCAAGCATTAAACCGATTTCGCAAAAATATACAGACGAGCGGCTTAAGTGTTGCATTGAGTCTTGAAGCCTCTGCGTGGGGCGCTTCACTCAAAACAGGTCTTTCGCGAAATACACAAGATACGTCCGATGAAGAAAAACAGACAAAATCGCAATCAAGAAAATTTATACAAACGGAATACATAGTAAAACCAGTAAAATGCTTTCGTATACCGCGTGAACAAATGAGACTTTCATCGGAAGCTGAAAATGCTCTTAAAACAATCAATAATAAGTCGAAAGCTAAAGATTTCTTGCGTTCTTTTAATTCACACGTAAATGACGGCAGACAACATATTGGTGGTATTTTCATACGCACTGTTGACGTTGAAACTAAAGAAGAAACTGACGTCGCAAGTTTAGAAAAAATTGCTTCGAAAAATTTTGCTGTTGATATCGGCGGCGGATGCATAGGCTACGGTTTTGGAGGTGTTTCAGTTGAAAATTTTACAAGCGATGGATCCAAAACCGGGACAGAAGAAATATCTCGTACGGCAACTGTGAAACGACATGTATATTGTATGGGACCAGATTGTAGCAATATAGAGCTGTTTACTAAAACGTTGATTTCAAATAATTCCACATGGTATATTATTGATCGCGATACTATTTCATCCTTCGTTCCAATATGGGAAATTATTCTGACATCGTATTCCTTACAATCGGATCTATGTCAAGCTGCTGAACTTATTAAACAAGTTTGGTTGCAAGAAGCAGATGCAAATCAGCATATACCGATCATTCAGTATGAAATACAACGAGTGCTATCAAGTGATTACAGTTCTTCGATGTCAATGTTACTTCCTTCATTTCATAACAATGGAAAGAAAGTCACATTGAATATTCGCGATGTAGTCAAGAAGTTGGACGATGAAATAGAAAAATGCTTAACAGACAACTTCAACGTTGATGAATTAAGTTCAAATCATCTTCTATCAAAGGTATGTACATGGTTTAAAGCAGATCTAGTAAAAAAGAAGTCCGTTGATGCAAAAGCAGATACATGGCGTTTCGTAGCATCCATTATAAATATTTGATAGCATCGGGAAGTCTTCAGAACGAATTATCTTAGATTTTTAGGCAGGACTTTGTCAAGGAAACTTCTTTTGAGGTTGATGGTAGGAGTTCTGAAATGAATTCCATTTTGAAAAAGCATTTCGGGTATTTGGAGCTACTGGTCTACTGAAGATCGTAACAGAAAAAATGAGACAATTCAGCGCACCGAATTAATATCTAATTCCGATACTAAAGCGCAGTTCTGAATTGAGTGAAAAATACCGGGTAAAAACCAATGTCTTGTAAAACTTTAGTAAGCTTTATAACCAACAAGATAATACGCCATAAAAAATATCATTGAGTGACCAGATGTTCTGTAGAATAGATTAAAGTTAGAATCTGAATGGATAGTGGATCCTCGTTTTTATTTTTAGTCTAGAGTGTATTTTTAATGAACCACCTTATTACGAAATATACTCACTTTAAAGCAGCAAATGATGAACTTACCCGTATGAAATATGTTGATTTTCTGAAATAATGTCTTCTGAAATTTATTTATATTAGATGTTTCATTTCATAGGTAAATAATGTGTTTCAAATAATTTCAATCACCAGTTACTCACACGATTACGATTTCTTACCTTTGATTATCCAAGAGTCATCAATGACATGTTTACTACTTTCAGTTGCACGTTGTTCTGACGAGAAAAAGCGACAACATGTTATGTCACTACTCGCTACTATATTTACAGAAGGAAAATTACAAGAAATTTTACTACACAGTATCCATTTAGACGAAGTCGTTTTAGATCTTATCAGAAAAGCACATGCTGCAAGGAAAGATCCATCATCATTGATGAATTCATCGCAAAGTGATTTTGATATTGCATTAAATACGCCAATCATTCCATTAAAGCAGTTGCCTTCTTATTTAATCGCCTTAATGAAAGCATCCATCGATCATAGCCAATTCTCAACGAAGAATTTTGAAGATAAAATCATAATTCACATAGGCAAAAGCTTACGACATGCATCGAAGTTGTGCAGTTATGAACAGGAACTGGTACAGATGAAAGAAGTATTGCAGAAGTATGGCTGGTTAAATGAATTTGATGGCTTCACTGTTCCCTTGACCCAAGAGGGATTTCAAGCCTTATTCTTAGCAATGAATGATATATTCTACAAAAAAGACGACAGAGAATCCGAACTACCTTTTGAAATACCAGATCTACCGACAATCAACACGACAACAACACAAGAAACTGATACTTCCCCTGCATCTCAATCTGATATCTCTACTAACATTTCCCAAAAAGATAATCGTATACTGTACACCTACAATGATTGGCTTGTTGATAGACCACTACCAACACCAATCCAGTTTGTCCAACGATTAATTGATATTCTGCGGCATCGACTCGATATTGAATCTGTGCTACTATCGAATTGTTGTGACATAAGTACCTCAAACTCATTGTCAACAGCTAAAATGTGGGCAAATCGTCGCAGTCACATGAATTCAGTGTTATTGAAAGAAAGGATCTCAACTTCTCTACATTCAACACCGTCATCATTCAAAACTGTTTATGATATATTGATTTATCTATTGCATCATTCAGACCTATTAAGTCAAATAGAATTATTTCGTCTTCTTATGGAGCGTCGGGTAGCATTACCACTTTTGACACCTACTAATCATGATTATTGTCTATATAAGTATCATATTAATCCATTGATGTTCATCACTACAAAGTTAATTGGAGAACGAGAGTTCAATTTAAGTGCTGATATTTCTCTTTATCGCATTGCAATCATATCGATGAGACCAGTTAAAGAACAAGAAAGTATCCAATGGATGCAACACGCATTTTCTTGTCAATCACTATCGTCCTCTGACGTAGTGTGTATACCTCTTGATCGATGTATTGCCGAAATCGGTATTGGATTTGTACCTGATTCAACTATAGAAAATAAAGTGGACAACTACTATCTAAAATACGAAGAAATGCTAGTATTAAATGTGATAGGCAATTATTCTTCCATTTGGCCTTACATCTCTAATTTTGCTGATCTATTATTGGTGGAAGAATTACCCACAGAAAAAGTAAGTTTTTCTCCACCAGGTCCGTTACCAGATCATGTCAATATAATAACATGGAAAACTGCAAACAGTATGTCCGAACCAATTATTACTGAAAACAATTATTTCCATCTATCAGGCAGCATTCTTCAAGTAGTTAAGCATATTCATGAAGCAATTATCCACAGTTTGAAAAATGATGATTTCCTGCAATATCAACAAAGTCACTTGCGTTTAAGTCAAATGCATTATCGAGAGCTTTATGCGAAACGATCAATTAAATCACTAGATATCGAATCCACAGTTTGCCAACAGAATTTTTTCAAATTACGTTCTGACGAACTCAGATTGCAAAAACAATTTGTTGAAGAAGCAGAGTATTGTCGAAGACAGAGAGAAGATAAAAGTTTGATCGCTACACAGGAAACACTTCAACGTGCAATCAATAATTGTAGACAAGAACGTAAAAAACTTGCTCAATCGATTGAGTCTCATCCATTAATCAAATGTTTTCTCGGTATTCTATCGCATCCTCAAGCATATCAACGCGCCTTAAATACAATTGAGTTTGCTCAGCTAATCGACAGATATTCCAGAACAGCTTTGCAGGACATTATTGAAAGAAAGAATCGCGCATTGGACAATTACAATCCAGATAACCCAAACTCTACGGCCACGCAAACATATTTTCAAGCCAAGCGTCTATATGTTGACAGTATCATCGGTCTAGAACATTTGTGGCGAGAAATTTCTCATCTCTATACAGCAAATCCTACGCGTTACAAGGAATATCCAGCATTGGCAGCTAAACACTTGATTGATGGTTTTCCTTTAGAAATTCTTGACGGAGATGCAGCTATGTTAAACCAAACTTGGATTCAGGCCGTGTTTCAAGAACTCGAAAATCAGCTCAAGTGCTCGATGAAAGGCTCAATTCAAAGACCCAATGATGTTCGAGTTTTTGTATTAAGTATTTTAGGAGAACAAAGTAGTGGTAAGTCAACACTATTAAATTGGATGTATGGTACTCGATTACGTGCAAGTGCTGGCATGACTACGAAAGGTGTTCATATACAACTGTTAAAAGCTGAAAATCGTGAAGAATACGATTATGTTTTAGTTTTAGACACAGAAGGAATTAACGCTCCGGAATATAAAGGTTTACCAGATGCGACAGCAAGAGACAATCGTCTAGCAACCTTTGCAATCTTACCAGCCGACGCGACTATAGTTTTAATTAACAATGAAGCTGATCAAGTTGCTCGCGATGTATTATCAATAGTTATGCTAGCCTACTATCAAAGCGAGTTCGCCATTCAAACAGCAGGTCGGCTGAATTCAAAAATATTTTTTGTGCATACGCGTGTTGATGTAAATGATACTGCAAAGCTTAGTGACAAGATAGAATTTATGTTTATTGAACTTAAAAATAATGCGGCTAGCCTACAACGTAGAAGTCAACAAGGAACGAAAACTGACGATATGATATTTCGAGATTTTCGCCGAAAAGGATGCAATGATTGTAACGAAAGCGATGTAAAATTTCTTGGAAAGATAAATTATGCAAATCTACCACCGAAAGATATTCCAGATCCAAATTATGGGCAATCAGTGATTGAGTTGAAAGAATATATCTACAAAAGAGTTGTAAATGTCAACGAAGATGATTCCAAATGGAAAGCAAAAATGTTAAGTACAGTGTCATCATATTTCAGTGCTGCTTGGCAATGTATACTAATAACTGATTTCACTCTGACATTCAAAAGCTTAATGAGTCGTCAATCATATGATGGCCTACAGGTATATCTTGGGAATTCCCGTGCCAAGCTAGCTATTTGTTATTCCTCAAAATACAGTGAATTTGAATCGAAATTACTTGTCGAATTACGATCGTACCAAACCAAAACGGAAGACATTGAACATGAGACATGCCAAAACCTTATCCACCGATATCACGAAGAATTTACCGCAACAGTACAACAAGATGCAATCTCAATCTACAACACAGTGTTGCAAGATTTGAAAGAGAAAGATAAGGTAATTTTTCGTGATTTATCACTTACTAGTTCGATTTCTGTGGTAATTTATATTGTCCAAAGACAAGTAGAACTGAGAAGAAATACTTAATAATACTATAGCCATTTTTCTCGTGAATCGTTATTCGCTATATTATTGTATGAGATATTTTGATAGCTTTTCATAGTTATTGGGCCAATAAAAAAACAGCTTCCACTTTGTACTTCCGCAAATCTCCACATCCTCAACCAATTTTTTAATTACATTAGTTTACCCGAGAGAATGATTGAGTGTCTTCACAAATATGAAAATTTGAATATTTCGAGAGTAAGTGAAACTTAAAAAAGATAAGTAATTACTTGATAATACAAGTTTGACATAATTGGTTTTGAAAACAATACAATGAGCCCTTTCAGTTTTTTTATTGATGTAACATTAATCATTCGTATGGCATTTAGTAATGTCATCTAACCATTATCGAAACGGATCAACATAAATAGATTCACGTTTCAAGCACCGTATGCAACTAATAGAGGGCTGTAATAACAACAGTTAATCTTGTTTATTGTGACTGACAATTAGAAAGGCTTTTAGTAAAGCCTCTTGAAACTTTAGAAAAATGAGCTTTTTCTGGTTAAGATTTAAATATAGATCAGAGATCACTTGTGTGTGGCTAACGAATGGCGATTATGAGATCAGTATGAGCTCTATTAGAGACGAAGATAACTTTTATGCCACTGTACAAACCTACCAATTGTATTAAAATTTGTAGAAAAATATTCAGCTTTTATTTCCAGATGTACACTATAAAAATCAATCTTTTTTGTTTTTTTAAGCTTTGGCAGGAATGGTTTGTTGAAGAGAAAAAAAACTGGGAAACTTTTCACAATAGCCAAAAAGCTCGTTCAGCATCACGTATAGAACAACTAATAACAGCACGTTTAATGTATGATAAAAAACTGATCGATTATCAACAAAAAATACGAATGGCTATTAGCAAAGCATTTCACGGCAAAACCATCGATGAAAAAAAGGAATTATCAGAAGATACAGTAAGCCAGGAGTCTGAATTCGATAAAATATACAATGCTATACTTCATGATTCCAAAACCCGACAACAAAAAGAATCAGTCGAAACAAGCATTTATAACACATATAACCGTAACCACCTTGGTAAAGATTTCGACTTTTCGAAAAAATTCAACGAAAAAAGACACAAAAGTGGAAAAACAGGTTCATTGCTCCGTCCTATAGATCTACTTTTATCATGCTTCAGTAATACTCTTAGTCAAACAGACGATGAAGCTCAATTTTTTCGTGAATTAGGCGAAGAGCTGAATGCGCTACTTATCTCGGTGAGACGTTATGAAGACGGTGTGACACAATCAGCGATTAATTTGACGGAAAAGCAACTACAGAATTACCGTTTCGCACGAATCAAAATACGTGAACGTGCTCATCAGTCAGTATACCATATGTTGGTAGAACATTTAACTCGAATTCATAATGAATGGGAAAACTCCAATTCCATTTCAGTTCGTTTGGAAAATGCAAAAGAAAACTTACGGAATTTCTTTCAACACACTATAAAAGGCGTTGTGGGGGCTGATCTGCTGCGAATTGAGCTGAAGTCAATATTTAAAACACATTGGAAATGTGGATTTATCTATTCTATAGGAGATTTAATTATTAATAATTTGCAAAGCGAAAGTTGGGCGAACAATAGTCGAGTATTACTGGCATATGCTGATTTAGAATTATTAGATTTAATTGAGCAAGGAAAGATAGATGTGATGATCCAGAAGGCAACCAACGTATCGACACATTATCAAGACATTATTCACAAATTAATCAGCAATCGAGTTTCACAGTATACAGAACAGCGTTGGCCTAGCTATCGTAAAATGTTAGTGGACCTTTTACAATTAGTAGTTTTGAAAACAACAACTTATCGAAACCCTATCTGTAAAGAAACCGAAAATGATCAAATAATTATTGGGAAAGGAAGAACAAAATTCTTTTTAAATGAATTGTGCAATAGTTTGATGTCAAAACATCTGCCTCATCTATTATTTGATTCCATACAATCACTGAATATTGATGATTATGAAATTTGCGATGCACAATCAACTGAAATTTGGCTGTCAATTGTAAATGATGTTATAAGTACTTTTCCAAATGAAAAGGTTAAATTTACATTATCTGAAACGGAAATGAAAACAATGATAGACTATATTTGTAATAGTTTGATTAATAATCAAGAAAATGAATCAATTCGATTACGATGCACTGTTCCATGTCCTATATGTAAGCTACCGTGTAAACGCGCTGCTGGTCATCATAACTCACCAAACAACGAAAAACGTCGACATGATTGTGATCATCAACCAACTGGCCTAGGTGGAGATTATTGGGAGACTAATGCTCTAAACAATTATAATGAGTTATGCTATGAAGCATGTGGTGATGTAGATATAAATCGAATGATGTTTACAAAAGATGGTAAAAGTTATTTTTATTCTGAATTCTCAAAGCAGTACGACTGGAAACAACCTCTTCCATTATTAAATCATTCGCTCGATATTCGAAAATATATCTTTTATAATTATCAAAAACAATTGGCTGAACTTTATGGGCGCTTGCCATGCTCAAAAATACCAATAATATTCAATCGTACATCTGATCAATTAGATCTCTTGAAAGCACAACTAAAACATATAATTGACGCGAACTAAACGTATCTCCTGATGTAATTTCTTCATCAAATAAAACAATTTAAGGTATCATCTTGCTATCTAGTATAGATGACGAGGTGAAGAAAAGACAAATTTTAAACTAAAACCTGTTTGTCAGCTTTCTATACGCATAGAATAATTCACACAATTTCAGACTTGTTTCCAACTTTCCAGAAGACGAACAACTGTTCCCTCTTTGACATAGTATATTCGAGTTAGTTATTATGATTATGGATACACGAAGTTCAGTTCATATGATTCTCACCATGCGAATAGTTCTACGTACCTGCGTAAAAAAAGAGTAGACAAAAAATCTGATTTTAGTCGAATCGTGTCTAAAAGTCTATTTTAATCTTGATGCTTTCAAAGAAACCCATTGCTGTATTGAAAACATAGGATGTTATTAGAGAAAGTTACAAAGGATTGTGTGCACTCAAAATGACCTTTACGTTAGATAGAACTTTGATAAGATTGTAATCTGTATCAGATGCTTAATCTGTTAATACTCTTTTAGTTTTTAACTTACAAACTTGAATCAAATCAATCAACATCCGGCAAATTCAATGGAAAATGTTCTGTTACCAGCTATAATTATTCGAAAAGTCAAATAAAATTAACAAATTGACTTATTACAACCGGTAATGTCGTTATTCCCACTTATACACATCAGTCCCCATAGCAACGCATTTAAGAGGAAGGGAAAAGTTCGAAACGAACTCTGTATACGGCGATCTACTTTTATCCTATTCAGCCCTGGAAAACTAAAATAAAATAAATCGTTTTCTTTTCCACAAGAAAATACGAAAATGTGCATCAGATTCAAACGTCATGCAAATTTTTAGTTCGTAAGATTTATTTTCTAAGTTATAATGAACAGCTGAATATTCATTTTCCGTAGCTAATTAATTTAACTTTTCGTACATTATCATCTAGAAAAGAATTGTGATAAAACAATGATTTCATATAAAACTTAGCAAATTCCAGTTAAATTCATTTTCATCCAATAAATATCCGCTGGCCATGTTTTCAAAGCTTCACTATTTGGTAAAAGACGACATAGATCTGAAGTGGCGAAATAACCTCGATTAAAGAAACATTTCGAAAGACTATCGAATCGATCAAATAAACGTGAACCGAGATCCCATTCCATCAATATCACAGGAATATTCACATATTCGAATGTTTTATTTCCTGTTTGACAAAGATAAATCTCTGCCCATTGAATATCCACTTTCATAATTGCCTGTCGAACATTTCTTATTTTCAAAATAGGTAAAATTTCATCGAATTGAATCGTCTTCACCACATAAATATCGTCATATTCTGTTTGTTGAACAATTGTTTTCGGAAGAACAGCTTGTGAACCGACATTTTCAGGATCCGATGTCATTTTGAAATATCGACCAGTTTCCTCATGAATTGCATTCCCAATTAAAATCACATTTTTTTCTACATTTTCGATTTGAATTGCTTTTCGAATTCGATCGATATTTGGTTTGAAACATTCGATTGCAATCACTTGTCTTCCGAGTGACGCGACGAACATTGTGTACGATCCAATATTTGCTCCAACGTCGAAAAAGTTCATCTGAGGGTATCGTTGAAGAACGATCAACAATTGAGTAAGAAGTTTTTCTTCCCAAACTTTTTCTTCTGCAATTTGTCTACTCACCGCATCACGAATATCATGAAGACAAATTGTCGTTTGTGTTATGTTTAATAATCGCTTCGTTTTGATACACGAGAAATTCTCTCGACTTTCTTTTTGCAAATCAATGATATTCACATGCGGAGATAAAAGATTTCGTTGAGAAACAACTAAGTTTCGTATTTCAACATACACTAGTGAAGATATGAGGATTTGTTCAGAATAATAAATCAATGTTAAGATAATTATTCCACAGACAAATAGTATTAGACGACGGTTTCTTCCAATAATAAACAATTTTATTGGAGAAAAATTCATTATGTTAATATCTGAGAAACACTCGTTTGTCTAAAACAAAGAATTGAAGACATGATGATAGTGATAAAGAAAACTCGGCGACATTGGAAGAACTAATCGAGGCAAAGAAAAATGTGAGGTTTCATCGCCAGTTTTCTGTTGGACTGATTTCAACAACTTATAATTTCAGCAATCGAAATAATCTTTCCATGACGATGTGTCATTTTGCCGACGAGAGTTGTATTCTATAGAAGAAACTGACACTCATACAGAAAAACGTTCAATAAGAAAAAAATGATGAACCATATGCGTTGCATTCAATGATAGCAGAATGACTGCAACTACAGACGAGAAAATAATTCATCAGCCAAAAAGCGCAGTTTCCTGATTTTAAAACGCATTAGAAGAACACGACAAAAATCGTCATTTTTTTTATAAATACACGAACTACAAAGAATTTCTTAGTTTGAACACAACATATTGGTGAAAACATGAAGAATTTATCAAAATAATCATTGCTTTCCTATGCAAAATCTCCATCGAACCAGCAAGAATGTTCATTATTAAATATTTCATTAGAAAGATCAACAAATTAATGAACATAATAGAATTAGATTTTCATCTTTATAGCAAAAGTAACTTATCTTCGATTGAAATGAATTAACTTGATTTGATCCTTTCACTAATTAAAATATAAACCAATCTGGTTGAATAGAATATCCCTTTTTTTATACAAAAATGTTTCCCCTCTCTACGACTTCTATATTCTCATATCCCCGCATCAAAATAAATCTATCGATTGAAAAATAAAATCGTCTTTTTTTTCTAATTTTTCAATGTCCCATATCTCCTCGCATTACGAAAAAAAATCAGAGTCAGAATAACCTATGGTAATAAAACAAAATTTTTCTTTATCATTTTCAATCTTTCATCGAAACAACAACATATGATCAATCGTTATAGCTTTTCTTCTCTATTTTTTCTCTTTGAAACGTAAAAAAATATAGATTTAGATATTATTTTGATACTCATATAGATTCCCATCTCAGCTTAATTCTTTAACCAACTGCAACGTATATCAATAGAAGCGAACGATACGGACAAATCTTTTTTTTCTCCTTATTTCCAAGGATAAGACAGAGTGAGTCGCAATCCCATTAGTGGAAAATCGATCTTCCTACAAAGATTGTACAACGTTCTCTTTTCTTCTCGACGAGAAATATTTTCCTCAAATAGATTTGTTTTTCTTGCAAAAGATTTATTTCTTTTTACAGAAAATTCTTCTTCAATTCACAATTTCAGACAAAGTGAAAGCAATGATTCATTTCCTATCAAAAATCACATTAGCGCATTCAAAATAACACCAAATATGGCCAAAACTGTTGCGATGATCATCAATATCGAGGATTTCAATGCAAAACGATAGAACCATGAGAGAACAAAAAATCCGAGCAAAAGCAAAGCAGCTGGGATGACAAAAATGGCAATGTATATCGTTGATAGGACTTGATACCAAGAAGATCGTTTTCGTTTTGCAGAAATAACATAAAGATCAAGTGAAATAACACAAATAGCTAAGAATAATGTTAATATTGGTAAAGTACCTTGAATGGGATTTTCAAAACCAAAATTACTTCGTAAACAAATTGTTTCATAATCAAATGCGGAAATTGTTAAACATGGAACTGAAATACTCATTTGAGAAATCCAATTTCTTATTATTTTCAAAATTTTTCGAGAATAAAAACACCATTTGTTTTCTTCTTTTTGCTCATTTTTTCTATTTTCTTTTTCACTCTCGTCAATTTCAGTTTTTGCCCAATTTGTATACGAATGATATATTGAGAAAAAGAATCCGATGAAAGAACATATCCAAAAGGCAATGTGTATCAGTTTATTCTGTATTGATGAAGTAATATAATACTGATAAACATCATAAACAGTTGAATTCATAAAATATGATTCGAATCGTGTTTGAAAATCAGAACAATTTTCAATTTGATAACCAATTTTAATTATATGAGAATAAATGGAATTCTCTTTCGGATAAATATAATACTCATCACGTCGGATATATCGAATATATTCGAATAGACCATAGACAAGTTCTCCTACGATAAATAATAAATTCACTACAAAGAAAATGAGATGGATCCATTTGCAAATTGAAGGTGAACATTTCTTCGATTTCGATGTTTTCGTTTCTGACGGTGAAATGCAAGGTGTATTTGCATTCTGAGAAATGATATCAGTAAACAATCGATCGAAATAAATCACTTGATACTTACCATTTCTGTTCTTTCTTCAAGAGGAACATTCGATGAGTTGGCTGAGCCTTCTAAAAAGTCATTTTATATAAATTATTTCGTTCAGATTATTACTTGATAAAACTCTGCGATCATTTCTATTTTCCGATAAATTGCTTGAAGTATTCAATGGAAAATCTGATGAATGATTGTCAAAATCATTTATACAAGAAACGACATGAATCGCATGTAATTCTCGACAATAATCTGGATTGGACAAGTAATCATACGGAATGTAAACATAACCTTTATCGCCCTAAAGAAATGAAACGTTAATATATTTCATTTTTCTTTGGTGAAAAACCCTTACAAAATCTTGACCCCACGAATTTTTTACGATGAAGTGTTTTTGATCGTCATTGTATCCAACTGCCAACATTGCATGATGTCCAATCACCTTATCTTTGTTTCGAGGAAAAAGTGTTGGCATTGGTACTCGACCATATTGATCTCTGGCCTGTGCGAAAGATTCAAATAATTGAAGGCCAAATACAAACGGATAACTGTCAGCTAAACATGCTTTCATTTCATTTAAATCAACTTTGATTTGCACAAATTTCTTTATACGATAATTTTGACCTTCGTCATAACAATTTTGAGGAGGTTCTTTATTTTTATTTTTTTCATTGTATAGATAAGTGTCTTCTGTACAACAACCCCATTTCTTCAATGCTTCAATAGCACTGGTAATATGAGTACCATTGTCTTCCATATCGCCTGAATCGAGTCCATCTATGTATCGACTATTATAATAAATAAATAGACGACTGACATCAACATGTCGATTAGCTGTTCTTTTTATTAAATATTCATAAGCAGCTAAATTAGAATGTTCAGTAGATCGATATTTCAATAGAATACAACAAATTACCTGCAAATGCATTTCCAACACTAAAATAATTAATTATATGACAACATGCCAAATGAATCTTTTGTAAACTTACCAAGAACCAATTTTTCCTTGATCTTCCACTGGTGTCATAAAAATTTTTAAATCAACGTAAGACGGAAGTTCTTGCTTTTTTTGATAGTCAAATGTGCTCTGAAAATCCGGTTCATTCGATGGCTTTTCGCTTGGAATAAAACCATTAAGACGATATCGAATTTCTGTTCCAGGAATGGGCAAATATGCTGGTTGAGCCATAGAAAGTATTTTTGTTTTGTTCGAAGTTTCAATGCAATAAAGTCGAAACCTAATGGAATAATATCGATTTCTTCTTAATGACACAATCAACGAACTTTTCTATTTAATTCCGTGTTTATATACAAAAATTTCCACTGGGTTTTTTCCCCAATAAAGTACAAAAAGGAGTCTTTAATTTTCAGAAGCATTAGTCGTATTTGAAAAAAAAACAAACATTAAATGATTCTCAACCATTTCATTTTTACCTTTCCTTGTCGCAAACGAAAATTTAACTGTGGGAATCTTAATATTACTGAATCGATTTAACTAAATTTCGAATGATTTCGTTTTATACGATTTTAATGAATAAAAAAGTCTCTTAGAGTTTCTTTATATTAAGTATACGAATACAATTCATATGATAAATTCATCAATAGAAAGATTTTTTGGAATTACATTTTAAATTAAAATTAAAATGAAGAATTCGATTTCCCATAATCATATTCCAATTTGCTAAAAGAACAAATTGTTGATTGATCATAAACTAATATCCGAAGATGTTCTCATGAATTAATTAATTGACTCTGCCATTATCTCTAATGAACTTATTTTTGTTGCATTTAAACGAGTCATTGATCATAAATTCAAATTGGTGTTCGATGTTGGCTGAAACGCATAAACATGTAACTAAATACGTTTGATTGCTTTCATTAACAAGAATCAATGTATTTAAATATTAAACACGGACAAAAGTGACAGAACGTTTATTCCTTGTTGTATTGATTATTTTCATTGGTGATGTGAAATTTGATTCATTAGAAATGAGAAATGCACTTTGATCACGTCCTATATGAAGAAGAGAAAACAGATTGTTATATGTTCATAGGAAAGAGAAAAGCAAAGACAATAAAGACATGTCTTTGTCTACAAATGATGGCATAGTACATACATAATCTGTTGGTAATGAATAAACATCGGCTAAATTGAGATTATTTGTATAAAATCGAGTCAAAGTTCCATTGTAGATCAATGTTGAGATTAAAATGTTGTTCGTGTTAAAAGTCATGATAAATCAGAACAACAACGAACGTCTATCAATGATTGAAGAAGAATGAGATTTTGAAATAATATTTGGTGAGAAAATCATCTGATAAGTGAAATCAATGTAAAACTATTTAATACGCTGCAATTTATTCTTTTGACTACTCGACTAATCGATATACTTGAAATATCTCACATATATATCTTTGGATTTTCTCATCAATTGTTGTTTCTCTTTTATACTGAAAATATTTCCATAAATAGAAAGTCTTTTTCAATTCAATGACGCGACTAAAATGATTTCCACTGCGTAACATATAGATACAAGAAAATGTCCTTGGAAAAGAAAAAACGAACTCATATCATCGATTGATTTGTACACGAATATAAAATTGATGAATGTTGATCAATTGGTCCAAAGCTTTGCTTTTTTGTTTTATATTTCTGATAAAATCCCTGATAAGCGGGTAATTCTCGATTTCCGACGTCAACCGTATTGATTCCTTGTGAAAGATGATTCATGGAGAATGAATCTAAAATGGCACAAATCTTCTTCGATGAAATGCTTTTGAAACACATCTCCGAAAGAATTTGACACCAAATTAAATCTAAACCATATCCCGAACTGACTTTTTCACTAATAAAACTCCAAAGACAAGCCAATGCTGTTGAATGGAAAACAATCAAAGGACCCGTTTCAACAAAATCTGTCCATCGACCAATTTTGTCTTCATATAAAGGTGAAATTCGGGTGATTAAATAACTAAATGAACCCAATAATCTTCCAGGTGATGATAAAAGAATTTGATAATGATTTACAACACATTCGTAAGTTAAAGGATGGAAATCAAATTGAACATCTTCATCGAGAATCCAAATGAAACGATAAGATTCGATTAAATGACGAGAAAGAAATCTTTTGATGAACCAAAAACGTTTTTGATTTTCAACACGAATCCAAATCGCCTTGGAATAAATTGGATGAGAATTCCAAGTCGAATTATCATAAATCATTATTAAATAATCAAAATTTCTCTCCGGATATTTTAAATGAAGATTCTTTGTTAACCAAAATTGAGAAGATTGTTCGCCCCAAAATGTAATCAATAAACTTTTATTCAATTTCGAACATTTTCCAGGATTTTCTAAATTACATTCAGATTGACGTTCGAAATTTATTCGAATAAATTCTTCGTTGGATTGAGAATTCCATGAGAAAGATTTGAGAAAGATTAAAAAGAAGAAGAAGATCAAAATAATCAAGGAAATCGAACGTTTAGAAAGAAACATCGAAAATTCCAACGAAATTTACGTTTGTCCTTCACTTACACGTGACATTTCTTTTCTTTTGTTTATTTATTCAAACTACGAACATCGAACAACATTTATAAAAGAATATTATTAAATACGTGCTGAAAATGTTGAGGAACAGAGTGGAAATGATTCAACAAGAAGATAAGATTATCTTCATTTCTCATTCGAAATTCAAATAAAAATGAATCGAACATTTTAAGATTTCTTTTTAATTGAAAATCTTCGAATACAGTGAAGACGAATTATTACGCAACGATCTAAACCAAATCTTGAGATTTTATATCTGAGATCAAAGATAATGACGTTTGTCTTTCATGTTAACAACGTTGTTATCTTGATAAACATTTATTTCACAAAGATTGTTTGTTTTGTATTTCAACATGTTGTGCTTTGCATTGGATCATTGCGTCCAGTTGAAATCATTCAGATGATATTTATCTCGTAATGAAATTCTTCCTTCATTTGTCGAGAGAAGTCTTATCATAAATATTTGATATGACAATCGTAACAAGACGAGAATTTCATTTCATATTTTCGTATATTTCATTGAAGAATTTTTTCTTATTAATTTTATCCGATGGAAAAATTCAACATTTTCTAGTTAAAATAATCAAATCACACGATTTCAGTTTAATCCCGTTCAAAGATCGTTTACAATATGACATAGATTTCGTATTAATGATTTCTTGTCCGCATTTCTACAATTAATCTCATTGGATATGGGCATACAACACCGATATAACGAATGCTATTCACTTAACTTTCACCTTATACGAAATTTAAGACGATAGGTTTTTTCATTTGGGAAGAAAAATCATTTTCATCCAAATTGAACATTGTTTTATTTGATTTAGATCGATCATTTACTGGTTTAAATACTTTACATTGTTTAAGAGAACTTGAAATCGAAATCAATGGAAATGTTTTTTAACAAATTCATTTCCTTATTTATCCAAATTTGATTTTATTGTTCATATTCCCATGGAAAGAAATTTGTGATTAGATTCATTTCGAACTCAATTTTGGTGTGAAGAGAAAAAAAATGGTTTGTTGCAATAACCAAACATGACAAACATTTCGGTTGCGATTATTGAGACAACTTTACCTTCATCTTTCAATCTTAATTTAAATGTTCATGATTTTTATGATGAAGAATTACTTGATAAAGAAATTTCACTCTGTTTGAATCGTTATGAACATATCGAAACATTTCATTGGAAAAATATTTACAAAATTAAAATTGATGATATCCCAACTTTTGTAATGATATCGTGACACTTCCGAGCTGTTGGATGGTGCTTATCGATGATTTTCAAAAAGTATTGGATTTGTTGGATTATATGCCAAATGTTTTTAAAATAGTTTTTTTCCGAATGGCGATGCATCCAACCCTATTCAAATGCGAAATGTGCAAATTTACGATTAACTTCGATTGAAGTAAGATCAACATGATTTTTTCTATGTTTTTATTCGAAATACCTTCAGTTACCATGTTTATCCAAATCTGCAATTCATAGTAATTATCCAGATGTATTTAAAGGAATCTTTCAACGTTTATTTCCCAATGTTAAACACATTGTTATGAATCAAGCTGAAATCAGCGTATGTTCTCAATTTAATAAATACACTTTACCTTGGAAAACTTTACCAAGTCTTAAAATAAAATGTTTCGATGCAGCTGATACGAATGAAGACGAAAATATAAGGAATAGAAAGAAAAATTCTTCAATGAAATTTTATATAGAATAACTCGACGTGTTTCCAAACAAAACAATTTCTTTCTTTCAGCATCAACGATGTATTTTATCATAAAATCGTGTTCAGTCGAAGTTTATAAGAGTCAAAGTCTTTTGTAAACGACTTTTTTCCTGCTTTTGTCAACAATTCATCGAAATTTCTTTGTAATCACCGGGGACAAGTTGATGTACTTGCAATTCAAGTTCGTCTACTTTGACTCAACATGTTTTTCGTTTATTGCTGTAACAAAAAATGTAGATCGTGTCGTTGATCACTTACAGAACTCTTTTTTATTGTGATAACAATGAGAAATTCGAAAACTACTGTCATCTTTATTTTTAGTTGGATGTTGACTATGTATTACATCACACCAGATATAATTTTAGACTGTGATTCTCATATCTATGCGTTTATCATTAATGACTGTAATTCTCGAGGGTAGAAATGTAGTCAATATGAGGCATCAAAATAGATTTGCGATGCTGGTGTGTCAACTAATAACATATGTAAATTAGAGTTCACGAAATGATAGCTTTCGCTTATTTTTCATAAAATTCCTCTAAGGAATATATTCGTCGTTAAAGCATTCAACGATTTGATTAATTTAAATATTTATTTCTACATAAGTTAATACAGATTGTTATTATTTAGTGATTTGCTTTGCTGTAACAGGCAGCGTTAGAGTTCTAACACCAACTTGTCGTTGTTGTCGTCTGTGACACAAAATGTTTTTCCATTGTTTCCACCAATATTGTTTGGGAAGTGTAAGAAGCATAAGGATAGGCATCCACAAAATTGAATATAAATCAAATAAAAGTATATATTCCAGTATACGAGGATCTATGTCACTTGGTAAATATCCGATGGTATCCAAAAGAAAATAAATCAAAATCATCATGGAAAAGATTGAACATAGAATTGAAATTGATAATAATTGTATAATCATTTTTCGATGTTTTCGCCATTGTCTTGGTTGTCGTATCAGAGTACTTTTCTTTCTAATAACTCTTATAATAAGTACAACGTCAGAAAACACTGCGAGAATGGTGAATATTCCTCCATTGAAAAAAATATCCCATAAAGAAAGAAAGACAACATGATAGTAACAAGGACTGTAACCACACCATCCTTGTGTATAATCGTATGAATTCGAGTCTTCACATTGAACCAATGTTAAAGCTAATGTGTAAAATAATAATGGATAGATAATGAAAAAAATCAATGGGAAATAATGGAAGAACCATCGGTTTTTTCGAGTTCGAAGGTATTGTTCATGAAAAATGAGAATATGTCTTTCAAATGACATCCAAGTGATAAGTATGAGCGTTGTTTGAAAAGTTCCGACATCCACAAACCACCAAAGTTGACAAACAAAGGGTGTTTGAGGTGAAACATAACCATGAAGAGTATAATTCATATAGAATGGAACATCGATACATTGAGTGCCGAGTGAAGTAAAGAGAATAACAATAATTGTATGATTACTTAATGTATTACGTAGAATATTTTTGCCGAGTAGATGATAAAGATGCAGAAACGTGCATCCTAATGATAAACTATTCGTAAAAAGAAATATCCAGAAGCGAAATAAACGAGGAATAACAAGATCCGTCTCGCCTGTTGACGAGTCATTGACGTAGTTCGAATCCATTTAATGAATCTTCAATTTTCCAAATGAAACACGCATAGTTTTATACATGAATTTGCATACAATGATCATTTTATAAATAGATGTGTCTGTTTGACACACTGGAATGCTAAACAGTAACTAAAGGTGACACTTTTATTATGAGTTTCCGCATAAATTAATGTGAATATAATCAAATCGGGAATGTTTTTCGGTGCATTGGTTTTATTCCCAGTGTGACACTACTTCGAGAAAAGGAAGTGTAACAACAGCAGATGTCATATTTCGGAATGAAATACACGAGCTATGTGTACTGAAAGTTCGAATATATAAACTAAAACTCGAAGGTAATAAAAGATTACAGATACATTTTATTTCATGTATTTATAACGTATGTCCATGTTCTGATATGACAACTTAATTATATCTGACATATATGTCTGGATATGAAACTTAAGTTTATCCAATTAAAACTTTATTCTGTTCTCGAATAAATTTCTTTTTAAATTCAAACTCGAATTCGACAGATACTCTTAAGAATTGAAGATTTTGTTGGGAGAGATTAATAAATTGCACTCATTTGAGACGAAACGAAAGAATTTATGGTCGTGGTTGTCCACAATTTTTAGCTGAACAACATGAACTTTTTCCTGGATTTTGTCTAACAGCACAAGCCATTACATCTAAATTACATTGACGACAATTTCCCCCTAAACAAAAGAAAAAAAGTATTGAATGAACAAATAAATTCAACAAAAAATTTACACAAATAGATCCAACTAATAGCTTTGCAACCATGTCGTTTGTAACAAGCATCATGAACATCGCAACATTTTCCTTTATTTCCGCAACTTTTAATAACAGCATCACAACCATAGTTATCTCGAATTAATCCAAATGGATCAACATCATTACGATTATTTGTTCGAGAAATAATCGAACAATGAATCATAGTGATCATCACACCGAGAAAAATAATTAAAGAAATATAATTCATTGGAATTCTTCTACAGAAATCATCAATTCATTTTTTTAAATAAAGATAAATCTTTAGAATTACTTCAATGGAATTGAATTGATCCGTTGTATTGAGTGCAATCCTGAAGAAAATAGTCAAATGAAATCGTATTTATAAAGAAAAAACAAAATCTCAAATCCAGATGTGACTTTCTTCTCAAAAGATAAATTCCCACCCACTTTTATTCTCTTATCAATCTTTTTCGTTCGTTTATTAAAGAGTCAATTTATGTGACAAATCCCCAACATATTAAAAAGGATAATAATTCGATATTCACATTGTTTTCGATGTTTCTCATCTAAATATTTGCAAATCACATCTTCATATTCATTGTTTCATTCGGAAACGTGAAAAATCCTTCTCAATAAATAGAACATTTTCGTGTCAGATTGTTTATTATCGATTTATTGTAAAAGAATTCAAATTTATTTACATAATCTTCTTTTAGTTCTATGTACTTGAGCGTACATTTGTTATTTCTTAAGTTTAACAATAGATTGAGCTGCTTCCAATCCACTTTCAAAAGCACTATGAATTGTCGAAAAAAATCGTTGATGAGTGGCTTCACCAGCAAACAGAATCCGTGGAATCTACGATAAATAGAACAAAATGTCTAAGACGATAGTCTTTCTTTCTCTATTCTTACTCCATCAGGTTTATACGGTTCACGTAAAGTATCTTGATCATTTCGTGTAGAATTAGTCGAATGAAATGAACATGAACCACGGATAAAACGATTTTTTCGCCATTCAGATCTAATTCTAAAGAAAAATTATGTATAAAAATCTGATAAAAGAAGAGAATTCAACGTACTTGAAAGCAAATATTGGTCGATTTTGTTCTTTATTTTCTGTTTTCAAGTAATGAGAAAGAACATCATGACATAATCGACTAAGTACTGTTACATTAATATCTTCAACAAGTAATGCAGCTGAACCACCTATTCCAAAAGTGATCATATGTACATCTACTGAACATCTTGCATAAATAATCGCATCGAGAATCGTTTGTGCTTTATTAGAATCAATTTGATGATCATTTAAAAAATTGATTTGATCATTTGTAAGTTTTAATGGAGAAGTAGAAAGTTGTAAGAGATTAATACCAACAATACTATCAGACCAAAAATCAGCGTCAGCACCAGGCTTACCAAATGAAAATTTTAGAAATCAGGGATTTTTGAGAAAAAATCAGAAGGTTATCAGGACAAATTTTCTGCTAAATCAGTAGAAAAATCAGGAAGTTTTTTTTGGATATTCAAGAGTGTTCATGCAATTTTTACGATACTGCTTACGCTCTGAAGGCTCGCTTAAGTTTTTCTAATAGAATCCATGTTCTACTTTGTAAAAACGCGACGAATTATCAAGAGTAAAATTGGTTTTGATGTTCTAACAAACGAAACGATAGTTTATGAGTTTGCAACGTATGACAAACTCTTTTATAGCCGTATTTAAGAAGACCACCCATGTAAAAAAATACACGAGTAAACCTGATTTTAATCGATTTTTTTATGATGAAAAATCGATTTAAATGACACGATTTTCATCTGATTTTCATCAGATTTTGAATCCAAAAAAAATNGCGTTCGGATGCGTTTATAGGATGCGTCTAGGCGCATTTATTAGTTGTATCGCGTTCGGGCGCGTTTATAGAATGTGTCTGGCCGCGGTTCTTAGGTTCTACCGCGTTCAGATGCGTGTATAGGATGCGTCTGACCACGTTTGATAATTCTATCGCGTTCGGACGCGTTCATAGGATGCGTCTAGACGCGGCACTACACTATGTGAAACACCAAACGCGTCTAAACGCGTTTTTTTTGCGTTTCAGAGTTACATGGGCAGTTGTTCAGATATACTAATAAAACTGATGTCAAATCTTTCAGTTTTTATTCCAACTATTTTAGATAATATCAATCGAAAAACATATCTTTACCAAAACTCACCTGAATTATAACAAATGAAACAAAAAGTGTTCGAATGATAGACCTTTTATAATCTATTCTCATGTTTAATAAACACATACCTTAAAGAGAAAAAAAATACCGATCAGGCAATAGACAAACTGTACGCGTTGACAAAAGGTGGGTACTTAAATGAATAATGATTATGCAAAGAAAATAATGTCAATGATCTGATATATAACTTAGTTTTAATGTTTGTGGAACAAAGTGTTGTACTAATAATAAAATAACATATCAATGTCGAAATTTCAAAAAATATTTTCAAAAAGAATCTCTTTATTATTCAAAGATGCTATATCACTAAATTGACCTTCTATTTTTATTATGAGATTAAGAAAAGCGAATTACAGTCATCTCAGTAATGTTTACTTTGATTCATAATGATATGAGATGTGAAAATTCAGCCCAGTTTTCAGTATTTTAAGCCACAAAAATGATAATTTGTATTCTTTCATAGTTACCCGACATTTGCACAAAGTTGAGATCGCGATTAAAAGTCATATAACCCATGTGCTTTTTTTTAGGGACGATTTTACACCCATTTAACAAGGTACACCGTTTGTCTATTGACTCATCGATGTTTTCTCCGTTGAGGTATTTGTTTATCACATTTGAGATACAATCATAAAAAGTGTTTCATTCTTAATAATGCAAATAAGTTAATAAACTAATGTCTACTGTAATTTGTTTTATAACACACCCTTTGTTATTCATCTACTTAATTTAGTATATGACGATGGAAGATAAGGGCATATTTACTGGAAAAATATAATCCTTTAATCTTTAAATGTAGTATCTCTGTTTGTTTTCATTTTCAGATGACTACTGTTCCAAAAGCTACTTATTCGACTCGAAAATGGATTGGAGTTGCTTTGATATTCATCGAATTATTCACTGCAAGTGCAACTATATATGGATTTTCTGCTTTGTACAACATTTTAGCCAATAATAATATATATCGAAGTGAATGTATCCTTAAAACGGAAGAGAATTCAAACAAAACTTTACAAACGATTTGTCGTGATCAATCAAGACAATATGAAGTAAATACAAAAAATTCATCAAATTTGTTTTTCATCAATATGAGCTTTGTTTATATTTTCTAGAATGCAGCGACTTTAGGAATTGCGATATTCGATCTAAGCGCTGTTATTGTTGGTATTGTTGTTGATTCGATGGGTGCTCGCTTTATTAGACTAATTGCAATGTAAGAGTTCGTCATTTTCTTTTGGCAAATTTTAAACCAAATATGTCTATTCTTGTCATACTTCAAGAGTTTTACATATTGTTGGATGGTTCGCTTTAGCTTTAGTACAGCCAGGTAAACATCAACTATTTTTCTTCTATTTCAATTATTCCGTCTGTTATTTTCTTCAGATCGAGACTATTTAATATACGTTCATACTGCATGTACATCATTATCCGGTTCTATGATAACTGCAACATCGTATATATACTGTGGTTACTTTCCAAAATCACGAGCTTTTATATCGTCATTGTTTGTTGGAGTTAATATAGCATCATGTGTGTGGTATTCATTTTTTCAAGTAAATACTTTTTTATTCTCACTTTACGAATCATTATGAATTTATGAAATCGTCTAGATGTTAATCGATGCTGATCTGATCACACTTTCAAAGATATCTTTCATTTGGTTATCATTAGTTGGAATAATGTCGGTCACATCCTTTTGGAATTTCGATTGGAAATTTTCTTTATTCAATCTGCCGTATAAATTTGATACGTCGTTGGAAGAAACATTTACAGGAGAGAAAAGTATAGTGAAATGTAACTGATTACAAATGTTTGATCTTTCATTATAGTTTCTTCAAGTGAAATGACTATCGATATTATCAAATTAAAATGGTATCAACGTATTTACAAACGTACTGGAGTTTGGAAACATTTGACAAGTCCTCTGTACATCTTAACAGTATTATATTTAGCAATATTATTTACACCAACTACGTTTTTGTCTGCTACGTGGTATCCTTGGGTCTACTATATTACAAATCATGATGAATCGTTAAGTAAGTTATGATGGAAATTCTCTATTTTATGCATTGTTTTCATTCTAGCGGAGAAATATACAGTTATTTTCAATATATCGGCGGCTGCATCTATCATCATCTGTCCGATCCATGGATTTCTTCTTGATTTCCAAGCTGATCGAAGTTAGCGACGAAAAACTAAAAACTAAAGTCGTATCTAAAAAATTGTATACCTTTGATATATTTAGGTAAAGCACGTCTGTGGCTCAATATCTCAGTATCGCAGACAATAACATGGATAGTGAGTATTATATCCTGTATTTTATGTATGTTTGTGACAACAAATGTTATAATTGTTGCTCTCATTTTCAATGGTATTGCTCATGCAACAATCGAGGCTGGTAATATAGCAATTATAGCAAGCTGGTAAGCATTACTATACTTATAGATATTTTCTATGAATTGAAAATCAGTATTCATGTTAATAAAGTCTGAATACATGTAGAGAGGGTATAATCACATTAGTAATAATAACAATGATTTGATCAAATTATTTACGATCGTTTGAGATTTTACACTCGACAAGGTGTTTGCAGCACTCTTATCAATTGAAAACTCTTTGCCTCTATGAACATGATCTGTTTTAGTTTTCCTTCAGAATATCTCGGCACGCTAACTGGTGTCATGTGGACGGTAGCTGGTCTCATTACTTTGATTCAATATGGACTCAATGAATTAACATACGATATACCTATGTCTTGGAGGGTAAGCGTGCAATGCAACGAATTATCTACTTATGATCAAATTAATGCGATATATTCTATTCAGGCTTGGCTCATTTTGGCTGCGTTGATTACATTGATGTTATGTCATGTGGTACAAGTATGGAGGAGATATGCCAACGAACTCAAACATCAAATGTCACGTTCCCAAAAGCGAAGCGAAAAAGTGCACAATGACAATGTAATTATTTCAAGACTGTGAAAATGTTTTTGCTATTTTCATCTGGTTATAAAAAATTGCTGTATTAGATGACTGAAAAGATTAATTATAAATTTTTCGCGTTCGTTTATCAAAGAATTAAATTATTCGACAAATATTCCAAATATTAAAAGGATAATTTGATTTTAACTCGTTGAGTTCTAGACCATTCTCACATTGTTCTTGATGTTTTTCATCTAAATATTTCGCAATCATATCTTCATATGCCCGTTTTCCCTTCTAATGTGAAACATCATCAGGCCAACTTCGAATCGTTGATGCTAATCTTTCTGGAACACCTGGTTCTTGTGCAATTTCTATCAGTGGAATAAAATACGGATGAATAGTAATAAGAATCGCTCCCGATCTCGGTAATCGACGAAATATTTGTCTTTCACATCGAAAATGAATTTGTTCAATAGGTGGATTTGTTTAGCGTTATTCCCATCGATGACGACCAAGCTATATTTCCATCTGTTTGAATGAAACAATTGTAACGAACAATAAAAATGGTTCGATGTAAGTAGAACCCTTTTCAAGTCCATGAAACAATTTCATATCAGCCATGGTTCTAGATGAAAAAGCTTGGCAGCGCAGTCCCTTTGGGGCTAAAATGTGGAACTCCCATATTTGCATTTAGAAAACGAGACTGCTGATTAGAATAGAATACTTAAGAGACGTTCCACGAGAAAACCAAGGATTTTTAGTATAGGCCAGAACACGTGGGTCAACAGATTTGAGATCTGACCCCAAGATTTACTTTGAGAGACTTAAGGTGGACCAAACCATTNATATTCGACGTATGCATTCAATATAAATACCATGCTGTATATCAGTAACTTGTGTATACATTCATCTTCAGCTATGCTGTTCTCCATTTAATCTTTGCAGTTCAATTCTATCATAATGTTTCGAATTGTTATCAATGTGCTTTGAAAATTCAAGGAAAAAATTTATGATAAGATTTCTAAACTAGAGCTTTGAGGATGCCACATGCATCTCGCTATCTATATTGGTGAAAAATTTGCGTGATGTTTTATAGGAATGTGAAGTTTAAATGTAAAGCTGATTCACAATAAAATCATTGAACAAAATCGACGGGTGGTAATTATGTTTGCAAATTTTATGTAGACTTACTTGATTTTTGTAAGCGATCGCATCTTGTGTGAAACATAAGGTATCTAAAGAAAAGGTCATCTGAAACAGAAAATAATGTCCGAAGAGAAAAAAGTGAGGTGTATCATAAAGCTGGAGTATAATAATAGAACGATAATAAGTTATTTGTGCTTATGCTTGTTTTGCTTTGAGATGTCGACTATTGACTTTCGCTTGGTTGTCGGTGTTGTGCTCGGCGATGCAGTGGCAGCAGAGTTCAATGTACGATCGATGATACCACGAGCTTCATCAAGAATATTGCGCCATGAGTAAATTTCCAAATCGCGTTCATTATCGACTTCGTCATCGTCGCTTGATTCATCTACATCAGCTAAAGATTCGGATTGAGTATTGTTATTTTCTATTGTGCTGGTGAATGTAGATGGAGATGACTTGACACTTGAGTTTGTATTCCCATCGGGTGATGGGTGAGCAGTTCGTCGTTTCGCGGCCAAACGGGAAAAATAACTCTTTATTTGACCTTGCGTAAGACATTCATCGTTAGTGAAAATATAGTTTCCATTACTGGTTGATGTTTCCATTTCCAATGCAACTTTTGCTGGATCCCATTTCACTATTACAGATTATTCTAGATGCAAAAAAGATATTAGTGTATTACTTACTCCCTGTTTCAACGCCTTGGTTAAATTTTTCTTGGAGGAATTGTCTTTGTTTCTCGTTGAAACGAATCGTTGGTTTATTCTTTTGTAAAGCCCAACCTTCAGTAAGCTGAGGGATCATTGCATTATTAACAAAAGGAATTACAGTAATGGACAACAAAGGTGTCGTATGTGGAGTGTTGGTTGTCAGCTTTTGATGAAAAAGCATTTTGCTTTTATCGATGAGTGAGTATTTTTCAAGCTTCATTTGATGTTTTCCTATTGTACAATGACGAAGAAGATGAGTATAGTAACGATAACTAGCAACACAGCCGTCGACAGGACATCCAAATAATTCATTATCAGACGTTTGATTCGTGTCTGATAGATCATCAGTTTCGTCTTCATTTGTTTCTGTATCATCGCTGCTACTATCCGAACCATGATTGATATCATTTACACCTATTAAGCGGAAAAATATCAGTTGATATATGATGAAATATTGTTCATATCACCTTTTTCACTGGAATCTTCAACCCATGATATTGCAACATTTTTGGATGCAATTATTTTTAGAGGACAAATTTTAACAACAACATTTTCAAAATCTTCCCATCGGTATACTTTGCCTGGACCAATTTTCCAAGATTGCCACATACGAACTTTCGTTGATGCTTCAACAGATTGCTCTCTTTCACCTTGTATGTACTCAATATTGTTGATTTGTTTCACGCCGTTCCATTTGATCTTATCAGTGTGCACATGCTCCAATTCACATACGTAGTATTCAACGCCTTTTGTATTTTCTAGGAAGATAAAAATGCGATCACAATAATAATTTCAAAGGAAAATATGAGAAAAAATCATAATGTTCAATGACTGATAGGCCAGTATTACTAAAACAATGAAATTCTAAAGCTATTTTCGGTATGCTTTTATCCTTAGTGAGTAGTATATTCTTGAAAAAGATTGAACCTCTTCTCATACGAAAGAATTACTGGAAGAATACCTGCAGCTTTGATAAATTCGATGGCATTGGTGCAATCGTTTTTTTCATTAATGAATCGACGAATGAAGCACTTGATGACAGCTGCTAATCGATCACATGGTCCTTTTCCACTTTGAGGATCAGAAAAATCGATAGATTTTATCCATACACCTGTCTCTTTGAACAATTGAACAGGACTTAGCAACGCCTCGCCACCATGATAGCATCCAGCATTATCGGATCTCAAATGGATAAATTTGATATTTGGTGATGACTGTTGAAGACGTAAACATATATGACGAATGATTGAAACGACAGTTTTTCCGTTTTGAACGCACTGATCGAAAACGTGGCAAAAAACTTTATGTTCATACTTGTTGTTATCTGGATTTTGACTATGGATTGATGGTTGTGAATTAAATGATTCATCAAGAGAGCTTGCCGATACTTGAGAATTATTGCGAATTACGTAAGCAAGATGCCAAGATAAGCCTCTCTTCGCAAAATGATCTTTCTAAAAATTTAGAGCAACTCTCTCGTATAGAGTTACTACAACAAACTCACAGTAGATTCTCTATACTTCGTTGGAAGCCATTTCATTGCCCAGTCTACGTGAATTATGGCAGTTTCGTGATCAAGATTTTCTAAAATGTTCACACGAGGTTGGTCTTGATGAATAGTACGCAAAAGGTGCGCTTTCCACTCCAAAATATATTGAGTTTGTTGTTTCAACCGATGAAGAAGACGATCACGTAAAGATGAATCCATCTGGTACTGTTCTATGAACATTTCAATTTTTGCCAAACTGATTTTCAATAATTCACATCGATCACATTGTTGGTCATGGTGGTGATCGCACGTTTGATTCCAACACTTATTATCAGTGCTACTAAGCGCATATGTTGTGCAATGATCGGCTACTTGATTGCTACATGAAACATGAACTTTGTAATCGGATTTCAGATAATTTCGGCTCTCTTGAAGATCTTTCTTCAAAGAAGCTACGTGATGTGCAGGCAAACCTACAAAATGAGTAAAAACAAGTAAAAAATACTTACAAAAATTATTTATCTCTGAAACTCATCTAGAGACAAGTTAGAACAATTTATTTTTGATTCTGATCTCACATCAGCAACAGTATACGATCATTCATTGTATCAAAAAAGCGGAAGTCATATCAGTCTCCTAATATCATCTCATGTGTCCAGACAGATAGCTGATGTGGCAACAAACTGATAAACCTCCAGTTGTTCAAATATCAAAGTAAACTAGGAAATATTTACCTAGTGCAGACAGCTCTTCCACAATTGAAATTAAACAATCAAACGCTGTTGATCCTTCAGCTGAATAACTGTCTAAACCTTGAAGAGACCGACGTGTTGATGCGGTACATTCATGGAGTATCGAGAAAAGTGTGCTTTCACCCAATGGACGAAATGAATTGCCATAATATTCTTCGCAATATTTATAATACTGATCAATAATGCGTTTTGGTGCCAAGTTACGAATTGTCATCGGAATAATAAGTACTTCGCCAGTAGCCAATTTCAATTGTTTCTCGCCAAAAGGAAGATCAGAACATATATGAGGTGAAACTATGAATTCAATGAAGTGTGATAATTGATAATCGTCATACCGTACGGTTGGATTCCTTGTAATGTCAACGACTACACCTTTTCCTTCACCAAGACAATGTTTTCTGGCTCGAATAAAACGATACTTTGTTACACCAGGAATGTATACGAGGAGAGTTTGAAGCGAGACATCTCTTGCAATTATCGATAAAATTTGCTGACGAACTGTCCAATGGCATGCATTATTGTATGCTTCAGCAAAGCTCGTCAATATCAAATGTGAGTTTTTATCCAAACTCTGGTTAATTGGAAATTTAAAGTTTTCGATGCCGGCGTTCCACACATCATCAACATTATCGTTTGGCGCCATAATACCCAAAATGGATTTCAAAACCTTGGTTGCCTTTCGTATAAACCGTGTTTTGCTTGATGATTGAAGACTGACGAATGACGCTGTTGTTAGCAGTGTCCCTTGAAAAGCAATTTCTAAAAATGTGTTGAAATAAGCTTCTTGGAAAGGCGAACACATAACAAATTACCGTCAAGTAGATTTTTCAAGCAGTCTTGCTTTTGCTCTGCCATTAGCTGATGGAAAGATTCAGATAAACGATCTTGATAATCAGAACTGGCGGCTGATGAAGTGTGAGTAAGACCAGGATCATATAACCATTGGAAAACTTCATCACATTCTCTTTTTATGTCATCATTCGAAAAATATTTTTCAAGATTATTGCGGCACTGTGTGCACATTTTCCGTCCAAATGAACGACGAATTGCATTTTTTTTCCATGCTGCAAATGCATACAGCTTCGATATTGTGCGGAGTCCGCTTTTACTGCATTTTGAACGACCTAAAGGTTTGCACAAACAGCAATTCTTGAAAAGTGATGGTTGAATCGACAACAAGTGACCATTGCACACGTGATACTTCTCGATGTTGTGTGGAGTTGTGTCGAATTTCCCGTAGTACAACAAAAGACTCTCAATTCTTGTTTGTGCTCCATATAAATATGATGAATCTTCAGTAGTAGAAGGGGTTTCACATAAATAACGACAAGACGTAGTTGTTCCAGTACATCCACTGACATCAGCAAACAAACACTGTGAATCGTTCTCCATTAAGAAATTATCTGAAAAGAATATGAAACGAGTAAATACGTGCATATTCATTTGAAAAAGTTGAATTTGATAGAAGATTGGCACTTTTGCTTTTGAAAATAATCGTTTCGATTCCCGCAATAATATGGTGATGAGTACATGAGAGAATGAGTTTTCCAATATCATACAGCAATATGCCACAAGAATCTATTTTTATACTTCCTTTTCTTTTTATTGTAATATGGAATAAACAAACTACATGCATGAAGATAGGAAAAAGGATGAGTAATGACCGTTCAGTTCAGCAACCTGCTTTACATATTCTTAAAGAGAGTCCGATCTGAACTTCGTTTCTATCCATCGTAGCAGAAAAATTGCAAAGGTGCTTGCATTCCGATTCTCTTTTGACTTGGCATCAAGTGATGTATTCATCCCTATCAATATATTTTTGTATTAATCTCACCAGATATGATAATATTCGCTTATTATTGCATCAGCTAGTTCGCAGAACGTAATCGCTAAACAATATTTGTCGAACTAATCATCAAAGTGACCTATTAGATTTGTATGAATTTACGTTCTATTCCCATTTATATCGATCAGCCAACCATATATTTCTATGAGATAGCTCTGCAAAGATTAAATGGAGAACAGCATAGCNAATAGTACTATTGTGTAGCTCATTCAATCTTGCAATAAATAATATATTATGCATTATTCTGAAATATTTCTTAATGAAGAGAGTGAGATTCAAAACGTTGAATGTTACATCATGTTTTGCCACTATTAAACGTACGCAGCATTTTCATTGTATTCTTGAGAATTTATATGTACGTTCGAATCGGATGTAGAACATTATATTTCTGGTGTTGCAAGTGACTACAGCTACTGTACTCTTTACTCATACAATCTCGATAAAATCAACAATTCAAATAACAAATCTAGAATGCCATTGAATCGTAGTATGTATTCATTCTCTGCAGCATCTTGAACAATGTTTTACTTTCGACAAGCACGAACATATGATCCGTTCAGGAAAGAATAATGGTGAAGTTGAGGGATACAATTTACAAGACAGCTGTAACATGAGAAATCCGGATTCAATATGATACTGGTGACATGTAGTTTTGCAGGTGTCGAAAAACTCTTTTGAGATCCACTGTAAGTTCTTATATGATGCATGCCATAATCCAAAATCTGCGATTGATTCGTATTGGTTTTGAGATGTTCCAATTTTGATTGAGATGGCTTTGCGTGATTGATAAATATAACGATATGGCGCCTAATATACCAAATGATCTAAAAGAAACAGTTCATCTAAAACAAAAAATGATGTCTAACAAAGGAAAAAGAGAAATAACATGTAATAAAGAAAAACTGCAGAGAAATATGTCAATGATGATGAATCATTTGTTTTTGGACTTATTCGTTTTCGGTTTATCGGTGACTAATTTTCGTTTTGTAGTAGGTGTGCTATTTGACGATGAACTTGTTGCTGTACTGAATGCTACTGCAGAATCATTTAATGAACGACACACAATGACGCGTGCTTCGTCAAGAACGTGACGCCACGAATACATTTCTAAATCACGTTCATCGGTTACTTCGTCTGTATCAGTTGTATTGGCAAATTGAGTGTCAATCGTGTTTTATTTGGTAGTTGATATGGATGATGACGATGATGTATTACGTGAAGATGTTTGTTTTGTTGTTCGTTGTTTTACAACCAGACGAGAAAAATAACTTTTAATCTGCCCTTGAGTTAAACACTCATCATTAGTAAATAAATAGCTTCCATTGCTAGTAAGTGTTTCCATTTCTAATGCAACTCTTGCTGGATCCCATTTCACTAAGAGAAGATCACTCATCGTTGCAATAACATTAGTACACTACTTACTTCCAGTTTCAACACCTTGATTGAATTTTTCTTGCAGAAATTGCTTTTGCTTATCACTGAAACGAACATTCGGCTTGGCGTTTTGTAAAGCCCAAATTTCAGGTAATGCGGGAATGGTCGAATTATTAGCAGCAGGAATAACAGTAATGGATAATAGAGGTGTTGAATGGGAATAATTTGTTGTCAATTTTTGATGAAATATCAGTCTGCTTTTGTCAATGAGTGAGTATTTCTCCAACTTTAGTTTATGTTTCCCAATCGTGTAATGTCGAAGCAGATGAGCATGATAGCGATAGCTGGCAACACAGGCATCGACTAAACATTCAAATAGTTGATCATCTAATGTATCAGTTGAGTTTGATTGATCATTATTTTCATCTTCTACATCCGTAGCTTTACTGTCATCTGAATCTGTATAATCGATCATGCTTTTTTCTATCAAGCAAGAAGACAATTAATTCATGACAAGAAAATCATCCGTACCAGTTTTTTTTACTTGAATCATCAACCCATGGAATACCAGCATTCGTTGAAGAAATTATCTTCAAAGGACAAATTTTTGTTACAGTTTTATTGAAATTTTTCCATTGGTAAACTTTTCCGGGATCAATTTTTCAAGCTTGCCATGCGCGCACTTTTGTTGATTCTTCTACGGATTGTTTTGTTTCATCTCCTATGTATTCGATATTGTTGATTTGTTTCACTCCTTTCCATTCGATTTTTTCACTGTGAAAATCTTCAATTTCACTTGCGTAGAATTCAACACCTTTTGTTGTTCCTGAAAGCATAAGAATATAAATTATATACGAATTTGAGAGACGTTCAAACAAATAGGTGGGTCACAGTATTCAGAAATTAGTGGAGGATCTTTGGAAACAAGAATCAAATCAATCAGTAGTCTTTGTCATATGTTGGCTACTAGTACGTAATTAAAAAAGAATAAAGTTGAATCTATCTAATTGTAGCAAATTAGCCGAAAAATACCTGCAGCATTTTAGAAATTCAATTGAATTTGTACAATCATTTTTTCGTTAATGAAACGACGAATTGAACATTTAATGACTGCTGCACAGCGATCGCATGGACCTTTACCACTTTGAGGATCCGAAAAATCAATGGATTTTATCCATATACCCGTCTCTTTAAAAATCTGTACAACACTTAGCAACGATTCGCTACCGTGATAACAGCCAGCGTTATCAGATCTCAAATGCAAAAATTTTATATTTGGTAATGTTTGTCGAAGACATAGAAATATATGCCTAATAATCGACGAAATGACTGTTGTAGCATTTTGAACACACTGATCGAAAACATGACAAAATATCTTATTTTCATAATTAGACTCATCTAGAATATGCATATGAGCGGATACATCTGAATCGAAGGATGTATCAAATGACTTCGAATTTGTTGAAGAATTATTACAAATCACATAAGCAATATGCCATGATAATCCACATTTGACCAACTGATCTTTCTGAAAATAGAAATCTACTCTATCATCCCTACAACAAAGAACAATCGACTCACCGATGACTTTCTATATTTAACTGGCAACCATTTCATGGCCCAGTCGACATCCGCCATTACAGTTTCTTCATTAAGATTATCCAAGATATCTACACGTGTTTGATCTTGATGAATGGTGCGTAGAAGGTGTGCTTTCCAATCTTGTACATATTGAATTTGTTGTCGTAGTCGATGAAGAAGACGATCATGTGCACCCAAATCTGTCACGTAATCTTCGATAACTGTTTGAATTTTGATCAAAGTAACTTTCAATAATTCACATCGATCACATTGTTGGTCATGGCGATGATCGCAACTTTGACACCAACACTTGTCGGCAGTATTGCTAAGTGCATACGTTGAACAATGATCGACAACCCGATTGTTTGGCGAAACGTGAACCTTGTAGTCGGACTTCGAATAGTTCCTGCTGTCCTGAAGGTCTTGTTTTATTGATGTCATATGGTGTGCAGGCAAATCTACTAGATGGAAAAAAGATCGGCAAACAGGTACAAATGATGTTTTCTTGGACAGTTAACTAAAAATCAACTGAATAACTTCATCAATGTTTTCAATCTTTCACTCACAACAACAACAAACTTCTCTGCCTGTGTATGTATAAGGAACTGAATCTCAATGAAATTTGAATAGTACGCGTTTCTTTCCACCGATAGAATAGGTCAAAACGTAAATAAAGTGTAAAAGAGTCGGAAAATAAATTCCATTAAAAATATGTACCTAATGTAGATAGTCCTTCGACGAGTGAAATTAAACAGTCGAACGCTGTTGACCCTTCCGTCGAGTAACTGTCCAGACCTTGCAAGGAACGCCGAGTTGATGCTGTGCATTCACTCAGTATGGAGAAAAGCGTACTTTCCCTTAATGGACAGAATGTATTGCCATAATACGTTTTGGTGCTAAATTGCGAATGGTCATCGGTATAAGAAGAGTTTCACCAGTTGACAAATTCAGTTGTTTTTCGCCGAAAGGTAAATCTGAGCAAATATGTGAAGAAACAATAAATTCAATAAAATGTTCTAATTGATAATCGTCATATCGAATTGTTGGAGCTCTTTTATCATCAACAACTACGCCTTTTCCTGTTCAAGTGCTATGTTGTCGAGCCATATAGAACCGATGTTCTGTTAAACCAGGAATATAATGGAGAAGTGTTGGTAATGTGACATCCTTAGCAAGAATTGATAAAATTTCTCCTCGAACAGTCCAATGAGAAGCGTTGTTATATGCATCGGCAAAACCGGTTTGTATCAAATGTAAATTTCGATCCATATTACGATTAATTAATGTAGGCTTCAAGTACTAAACATTAATTTCCCATGCACCATCAAGATCATCATTTGGTGCCATAATACCAAACATTAATTTGAATATCTTGTTTGCTCTTCGACAAAATCTCTTTTTACTGACTGGTTGAAGTTTAGCGAAGGACTTAGTCGCTTGAACAATAAGATTATTAAATGGTTGCGATAAGACATCACGAGGATCAGAGTTGGCTACCGAGGGTGTATGAGTTATATTGACATCATATAATCATTCAAATAGTTCATCACATTCTTCTTTTGTTTTCTTTGTAATAAAGGATTTTTCAAGATCATTCCGACACTGTGTGCACATTTTGCGACCAAATGAAACACGAACTGCATTTCTTTTCCAAGCTGCAAAGGCATATATTTTTTATATTGTTCGAAGACTGCTTTTGCTAGGTTTTGGCCGGCCAAATGGTTTACACATGCAACAGTTCTTGAACACTCAAGAATGAGCGAATTTTATATGATTGCTGCATACGTGATATTCTTCCACATTGCATGGAGCCATATCAAATCTTCCATATTGAAATAAAAGATTTTCGATTTTTGTCTTACAATCATGTAAATGTGAAATATCATCAGCATTTACCGGTGGTTTGCATAAACCGTAACAAGGCGTGGATGTTTCAGAACACCCATCCAAGTCAGCGAAAAGACAGCGAGAATCAATTTCCATCAACAAAGTAATCTAAAAATGGCATAAAACGAATGAAAATATACTTTCTCTTTTGAAAAATCTGAACTTCATAAAAGATCAGCGGGTTTTCAGATGAATAATAGAGTTTTCCACTGTTGACAATCAATACGAAAAGCGAAACTAATGAGATAATTGTTCATGTCGTAGGAAAAATATTTTGCATAGGTTTTACTCCTAGAAGGCTCAAATTACCATGGCTATAATATAGTACATGCAAAACATATATGTAGAAAACGTGAGAAAAAGAAATCACAAGAGGATAATTCCAAAAAATATCCATGTATGTTTCGTACCTCTTTTTTTCAAGAAAAGTATTGTATAAAACTTTATTTTGAATTTATTTTTCATAAATAAGATCAGTGAGTTTCTTTCTTTTATTCAAAATATTTTCTTTCTATAGCCTTCATGTAATCCTGTCATGACAAATATGATATCCTTCTGTATGAGGTATTGGAACATCAGCATATATTTATACATCTGATCACCAAAAATAGCCTGAAAATAGCACTTATCGAATTCTTAAACCGATTATCTCATGAAAGTGTATACTTTCATATACTATTCTGTTTTATATAAAATCGTCAATGAGTTCAGATTTCATGCGAAAATTAGTACTTGTTCGCACATAATGTTTCTTTGCTGTGTTCGACGAAAGTTTCGATTTTCAAACGTTCAACTGCTCCTACACTACTGTTCAAATTATCTTCAAAACCTGTTCGATCTCAATAACTCGATTATGCTAACTAACTACGAGCGTTAATGATAAATGTTTGCGACAAATACAGACGATATCAGTCAACTGTTAAAATGACCACAACACACAAAATGTGTCCGTAGCAATGTCGTTTAAGTCGAAAAATGAGAGAACTAAATAGATAATATATAAACTACAAAATAATTATATGACATGGCATTGTCATTCAACAGATAGTTGCGTGAACCATTCTGTCAAACTTCTCTCAGATGTGTTCTGTGCGTTAAGTTATACTAACCAATGAAAGAATGGAACAAGAGTATGATTCCCGACATGCGTCGCTATCGCCCGTCAACAATCCGCGTAATATTTGAACGATCCTTTGTGTTCCGGTTAATTCGAGTAAAATTGTTCTATCCATATAATCATATGCATTAACGTATATTTATTCAACATATATGGCGGACACACATTTCCCAATAAACACGTGAAGTAATCCTGAAAATAAATGATATCAATGTTGTTATTTCCTACAACAGAAGCAGAAATTGTGTCCTATCGTATGCGCTAAGGTTTTCTGATCACATTACATAAAGTTTTGTTATACGGAAATCAATAGAATTTTTTGTATTTCAGTCGTTGATTTTATCGAGATTGTATGAGTAAAGTGTACAATAGCTGTAGTCACTTGCAACACCAGAAATATGATATTCTACATCCGATTCGAACGTACATATAGATTCTCAAGAATACAATGAAAATGCTGCGTACGTTTAATAGTGGCAAAACATGATGTAACATTCAACGTTTTGAATCTCACTCTCTTCATTAC